ATTTTCCCTATTTTTTATCTAGACCAAAACTAAGGCTAGTCCATTTTGTGTCCAATAACTCCTAGTCGGGTCTGGATCCAACAAAGACATAGTCGAGTCGGAGGTTGACCCATATTCAACCTGCTCCAATAACACCCCCAATATTGAATAGGGCCAACCGAAGGATTAGATCCTTTCCATTTCTCACTTATTGCCAATCATGGATTAGTGTCACCAACAAGGCTATGAGCAATTGATATCTCTTCTATCATGGCTCTACTCTCTGATCTCCTCTGCCCCACTCCTCTTCTCTTCTCTCTCTAATGCTCCTCTCTGATACAATTAATACAACTGGTCCATCTTTAGCTTCTTCATCTACTGTCTTGAACATCCTCCTCTCCTGAACTCTTGTATCCTCACAGGCTCTATTTTCTGAACATCCAATACTTGCTCCTTGGCTAAGACATAAAAAATGGCATGCTAGTGAACTTTGAGAGGACATCCTCTTTCTCAACTCCTGAATAAGTCAAGCTTAGCCTTCTAGTTCTCCCTCGATGAACTAATGAAAGAAACTGCATGGATAAACATCTTCGATTTGTAACAGTAAAAAAAAAAAACTTTTGCAACTTTAACCTAGCAAGTTCTATAGCTCTACAAAGATTCCAAGTTGAGTTTCACCTCTTCGGTAAATTGCCATAACCAAAGGTATTCTAGAGCGTTTTATAGTGGTAAAACTTTATTGAAATAGATTTTAGGGAAGAGAATGGATGATCGAAGATAGTATTCATTCTCGTTCGGCTCTTGGAATCACATCTAGCAGTGGTTGGAACAACTCGCAAAATCCAACCACTTCACCTACTTCATTGCCCCCCCCCCCTTTCCTGTACCTCTATTGAAAAAGAATGGTTTCATGTTCCTTCATCGATTGGTTATTCCTCTCCGCTCCTATCTCCTCCTCCTATTTTTGTCTCGATTAGTTCACAAGATTGAATGGCCAAGTCATTATAAGCCTCGATTGTTTTGTGTTTTAAAAGAATTATGAGCGGGGTATGTAAGCCTTGTATTTGGGAGGAACTGAAAAGAAGGGCTTTCGGTTCTTTGCACCAGGTGTAGCAGCTATCCTATCTTTCGATTCATCCTCTTCTTGTTTGAATAATTGGACGTTTTGCCTCCTCCGTCTTGGGCACTTCTCTGCTATGCGCTATTCATGGTGCTACTCGGTATGCGCTAGTCATGGTGCTACTTAAATTTGAACTTGAATTTTTAAGTATCTACACTAGATTTGAGAAGCTTGGGTCGGTCACTAATGTGATTAAAGCAATTTGAACAAGAATTTTTAAGTATCTACACTAGAATTGAAAAGCTTGGGTCGGCTACTAATGTGATTATGACTGTGGAATTTAAGGAAAATGAGAGTTAAGGAAAATCAGAGCTAAGTAACTTTTTGTATACAAAAACGGGTTCTTTTAGGAGTTTCAAGCAAATACGTGTAAAAAGAGAGACGTGGGAAATGTGGAGTTTTAAGTGTCGAATGCAAGAAGTTAGTGAGTGTTGAATGGAAGAGGACAAAGGGGAACGGGATCTCAATGCAGTGTTTCCCAACCAAGTGACCCAAGACCTACTGGGTTAGGGTATGGTCCAAAATCAAGTCCTTCACAATGGATCTGAAAATTCTCAAGAACAGGTCCGGGTTTTAGTGGTCCCACTCAGTACTCAACCAGGGACAAAGTTTCCAACCCTTTTCAAAACCGACCTTTTCATTTTATAGCAAATCCCCTCACATTATCTCATTAAATCTTTCGATGTAGAACTAAAAGATTTTTTCAACTCATAAAATAACAACAATTTTCTCTCTCTTTAACCCCTCCCACCTATGGAGAAGTATGTAAGTAGGAAGAAATAAGATTCCTCTATTGACTCTAGGCATTTAGAGTGCCATTCACTTATCCACCTAGATCATGGGTCTAAAAAAAATAAAAGAAACCTTCCATCTTGACTGGAATGGTGTGGAACCTTACGTATTTTAAACACAGTACCTCTTACTTGAACACAAGAACCTTAAAAAAAATAAAAGAAAAAACTTTTCCAGATTTCTGTTTTATATATTTTAATATTTTTAGAAATGTTTTAGGGGGTATTTTTTCGGGGGCCTCACCACTAGAGCAAGGCCGAGTTCCGTTGGCTGAGTCACATAACAGTGATTACATAATAAAGGGCTGATCCACCATGAATCCTCTGCGATGTACATTAGTTTTTTAGTATTAATCCATTAATCAAAACTAAAAATTCAGTCAGTGTTGTTCATGAATATGGAGTGTGGGATGACAGAGTGTTGTGCCCTCAATACGAAGAAATATGCGCAACAACTTCAAATTGCACCAAAACGAGCTCTGCACTAACAAGTCGTTTGAAAAACATCATGGAGACTTTGAGGCCCTAAATACTTTCCAAATGAAAGATTCGAGGCCAGACTTTTTTTTTTTCTCATAAAGCCCAGGCCTTGTAAAAATGGACCCGGTTTCTATGCGGCTTATCAATAAATCTATTTTTGAAATGGATTTTTAGAATTAATTTTCAAAGACATGTAATCTCTAACATGGAGATCATGAATATGAAAAAATAAGTAAATTTTAAAAACTAGAAATAATAATTCTAGTAAAAAAATATTTGGAATGTTAGTTTCCATTGTTTTTAGATGGAACGCTTACTTACATCCATCTTTAAGATGGACACTTTACACTTTTTGGACCGCATATGTAGTCATGCGATCCAACCCACATAAAACAATTTTCCTATAAAAATTGCATCCATTCCTTACAAACATCACCATCCTTTTTTCTGCAATTCTTATTGACAGTCAACATCTTAGGTGAAGTTTGGATGTACTGATTCAATGCACTAATTCTTTGAATGGTGATTGAATAAAATTTTAGCTCGAGTACTCTGTGCCCATGGGAGTATACTGTGCATCTACTTCCTCAGTCAAAACGCCCAGCTAGGCTATTATTTTTGTCTAAAACTTTGGGAATCGTATAAAAAAGTTATTTTTAAAAGAAAAATTTGAATATTGATTTTTGTAATACTTAGATATCGTCTTTAAAAAATTGGACAGTCTTAATTTGATCTTATTTTTTAATATTGAAATTATTCTGTGGATTGTAGAGATTACACCTCCAAAATTTTAGATCTAAAAAGTATTCCTAACATACATTTTACCTAAGGGAGAAAATGGAAACTCCCTACGAAAAAAAATCTTTTAACTAAAGTTTTCCTAGGAGGATACCGTAAAGTTTTTCCAATGAAATTTTAAAGATATTGTATACCGTGAGACCATTTAGTTTTGTTACAAAAAGGTCACAATTACTTTTAGCCATTGGATGTGAAATTTAAGAGATAGAAACATGTTACAACATTCAAAAAAATTTATTTTAAATTTTGTACCCAACAAAAACATATCTTCAACCACCCAATTTCAATTCTAACGGTCAATTTTTATTTTTATTTTATAGTTTTTCAGGTGCACCATATTGAGAAGATGGTATATACCAAATTTCATTTTCATACTATTTGTAGAAAAAATTTAAAATAAAACACATTGAGGCGTCAGATCTTAGATCAAACGGTCAGTGACTTACTTGATCTAAATTGCATGGTTGGATGGGAGAAGTATATATTTTCTATGCTGTAGGTGAATTATATAAAGAAAAAGTTTATATAAGGATGCTACCTTATAATATAGAACTATGGATGCCCCTCAAAAATCCATTGGAAAAGGTCGTTTTAATGTTGAAAAACCCTTTGATTGATCATTTGGATATCGAGATGTATGACTATGAAAAATAAAAAGATTTCAACTCTAAGAAATAGTGTATTTTATAATATATTATCTATACCGTCCATTTTCAAGATTTTCATATGTTTAAATATGTACTTGATTTTAACCATTTTTGAAATTTAAAAATTTATAATTAGATATAAAAATAGATTTTGAGATACTCCTAATAACATTTTACATCACAAATTATATACCATGATAAAATTTGAAGGGCACCGTACTTCTACACCTACGGAGGCATCCTTATGGAAACTGCACCCATTATATAAACATTTCCCAAAAGTAAATGGTCTCACTGTATATTTCTAAATTTAAAAAAGATGTGAATTCTAAAGTGAAATAGGCATCTAAACAGTGTTCGCAAAATTGTACTGAAACAGTTAACTGGACATAGGCTTGAAAGCAGTTTAACTGGCCTAACCGGTAAATCGGCCGATTCAATCGCTCTAACCGAACAAGTTTCGGGCGGCAAAAAAAGTGTTAAAAAAATAAAAAGATACAAAAAAATCTACCAAAATATTAAAAGCATATAAAGAATGAATAAAACAAAACACAAACAAATGAAGATGACAATTAATGAAAAAAATGGATTTTAACGAACCGATTTGTGTCTAGTGGTATTTTTAAATTTTTTTGAAAAAGATGAGAAAATATAAAGTGAGTATTAATTACCAATTTGTTTTTAATCTTAATGTAAAGAATATTAAAAAATATATTTCTAATCAAATTCCTTATTTTTGGGAATTTGTATATATGTTTTTAAAGTTTTTAAATACTGGTTGATCATCAAAACCGGAACCAAACCGAGCGGTTAGCAGGTAGATCACCCGATTATATAAACACGGCATAGAAAGAAAGCAATTTATATAAGGGCGAGGTCCTAAATACTTAAATTAAGATGAACCTCAAACACTCACAAATTATTTATCAAAAATTCTTAAAATTGATATCTCGATCTCAAAATTTATTGACAAAAAAAAAAAAAAAAGAGATTTCAAGTCTTGAAAACAGTGCATCTTGCATTTTGAGACAGTCAATTTTCAAATTATTTTTAAATTTTTTTCAAGTTGTTCATAAAACTTATCGAACTGCATTTTAAATTTAAATTTTATAATTAGTGAAAATAAATTTTCAAACCAGGAAGATTTCCGGTATTGATCTTTCAACAGTATTTGAAGATGCACCTTTCTATGATGGTTTAGGACCACGGACTTCGGCAAACCACACCCGGCATTGAAAAAATTGTAGCGGGACTCAAATTTTTGTTGCTCACCGTGTTCTCTGGGTGTCTACTGATCGGACGCTACCTCTCTCGGATCCCTTCCTCGCCAACAGCCGCAAGCACCGCTCACATGCCCCTGCACCTCTGACCACGGTAAACCGTCTCTCTCTCTCTCTACAACAAGCAAACCTCTCTCTCTAAGCATACCTCTCTTAGAAATGCTGAGTCCTTTACTTGCGCTGGTATGAATAGCTTTTATGGTGCTAGTGAGGTGTTCGACCTAGAACAGTTCATGGTTCAATAGAGGGTTGCACAGTGAAGAGATTTTAGGTTTTTCTGTTCCCCCCCCCCCCCCCCCCCCCGACCCAAAATCAGAAACTCTGTGTTCTGGTTTCTTTCATTCTCTACGTAAGCAGCAGCAAACTTGTGGGTTTCTTTGTCTCAAGTCTTACCCAAACCAGGATTTTTTTTTTTTAATTTGCTTTTTTCATTTTCCTCTGCAAATGGGAATAGGGCACACGGGCTTGATCATACCCTGTGCAAATGGAAGAGCTTGCCTCGTCCTTTTTAGAGAGAGAAAAAAGACTACTTCTCTTCTCTCTTCCTACAGCAAAACGGTTATATTTTTAAGTTTAGCGTGAGAGAACTTATTAAGTTTTTTTTAGTGAGATAATTTTTAATCATGGATCCAAACTGGTTAGTCTTTCTCTGTCTACAGGGCATCAAGCGCCATGAGCGTGATCGACATTCTCACTCGTGTTGATGCAATCTGCAAAAAATACGACAAATATGATGTTGATAAGCATAAGGAGTCCAATGTCTCTGGAGACGATGCATTTGCTCGCCTTTATGCAAGCATTGAGACCGACATTGACGACGCAATTGAGGTGCTCTTCATCCTCAAGTCCATTTTTAATTAAATTTAGGTCTGATAAGGGTTTTCTGGTTTCAAAATTTATCTTTTTGTCTGTTGATTTTTGGGTCTGTGTCTCTAGAAATCAGAGAATAGCTCAAAGGAGAAGAACAGAGCGGCTGTTGTGGCAACAAATGCAGAGATCCGACGCACCAAAGCACGTTTGCTTGAGGAAATCCCAAAGCTGCAGCGATTAGCCCAGAAGAAGGTACTTATTTTTTCAAGTTTTCTTTTTTTATAAGTTGGATTCTTCTTGTTGTTTGCTCTGTGTTCTTTATGAGATCAAGCTGTCTCATCTTGAATTCTTGAATAAATTTTTAGTAGATATTTGTTTATCGATGAATGAATCCCAAGCAATAGATGTTTCCCCTGCATGTATCTGCCTATTGAATTTCTGTCCTTTAATGCTGATTCTTCCTTCTATTGGAACTTGCGGGATGTGTATGGATATGGTCTAGAGCTCAAGGGATTTTCCTATGGAATCTACCAATTTCTGTATGCTGGTTCATTTTTATCTAGTAGCCCTAGCAGGATTTATAATGCTTTTCCGACTGAAAGAAAGAGGAGTACAAAAAGATTTTGGAGATTTATTAGAGTTAATTCCTGTTTGATTGTCTTAATTAGCAACTAAAACTCGCAACTTCATGTTATTGCATCTCCTGAATCAGACTGCAAGATTGTGTGCCATGCTATTAACAAGTTTTATAGTAAATATTCCAGAAGGTGATGAAGAGATAAGGTTAGGATGTTTTTCTTTCATTGTTAGTAGTTATACCTGTTAATAAACCCATTTAGAGGTCATTGATTAGGTGAATGTAAATCATGTGCTGGTGTGCAAAAGATTTGCATTATCCACCTTCCACAAAAACTCTCCACATAAAATAATAATCTTCCTGAGAAAAGCTTGTGCAATGAGTTGATGAACCAGTAATTTCTAATTCATTGGTGCCCCAAGAACATTAAGTGCATTTCGATGGCGGACCTTGCACACTGATTGAAACCTGCATTATCTTTTATGTTCAATTACATATTCGACTTGGGTACTTTTTGTTGGCAGGGATTACTTCCTTCACGACTAAGGTTAGCATCTTGGAGAGACTCAATAAATGGATGGGTTTCTAGATGTTCTTATGTACTCTTCCTAGCTCCTCAAGGTTGACGCAATGAAGAATAGGGGTAGGTTAACTCAGAAGCCTACCATAAGGAAGTTTTGATAAATGATTCTGTCTCAGGGCTTTATCACATAATAGGGAGAAAACCTCATGTGGAACGAATAACTGGATGAAGCATCTCATGAGAAGCCTAACAAAAGCTACATGCCAAAGCTTTTTGGTAGAATATGTGACCACCTTTGGAGGGAGTACATTGATAACTTGAGTTTACGCCTGTCAGTAACATCCCTAATTGACTGTATCTGCTTCATTGCGCTTCACATTGAAACGATTTTCTTGGTGTCATGAGAGAAAATTGCTGCCTATTTATCTGATAAGGATCCAATTGACTCACCTCAAGTCCTAATAACTCACTTCGATAGATATAATTCTCTTAGCATCCTTGGAACAAGGTCTATATTGGGTCTCGTCCAAGTTGACACTGTGCATTTGGTGTTTTCTTTCTGCTGTCAGGGACCTGACATGACCGGGCAACATAGAAACATGTGTGGAGGTGGTTGGCATTTTCATCACGATTCCTTGCATTTTTTTTTTTTTGAGAAATAAATTCCTTGCATTTTCAATTTATGTAAATGTTGGTCTATGATCATATAACTAATTTATATTTCAAAACCTATTTTAAAGACCATCACAATTGCCTATCAATTCAGCTTCACTCAATCTAAATCTTAGTTCTCATAAATTCCAATATGTTATCTTCGAATTGTCAAAATCAGCTATCCTTAGGTGTGTTTTATTGGTGATTACAAATGCAAACTTACTTGCTCCCCAGCTTCCCAACACACTTTCGCAAACACTTACTAGTTTTCATCTTTCTTAACAAAGACCTAAGGTAGCCCTAAGATTTCTCTTAACACTTGTTAATCTTTTTTCTAAGGTACTCACAAATTTTAGTACCTACTGCCCCACATTTAATACACATAGGCTTCACCAATCATCATCATCGAAGCCTTATCCCAATAAGTTGGGCTCAGCACATGCTTCACCAATCAACCGTGAATGAGTCACTTTTTCTCCACCTTGTACAATAGGAAGCTGCCTAAAGTTTCGATCATCTAATGGGACAAATTCCATCATCTGGCACCGCAAAGGTCCCCTTTACTCATACCTTACCACTGAAGTAGCTTCTGATATTCCCAACAACTATAATTGTATAAGAAACTGACATCATGCTTCTGTATCCATGTGGTCAATGTGTGACTGCATTCAATCCTTTTAGTGACTGGACAACTAATCCTTGGTTGATGAAACTATACACTTCCGCATCCCTTTGAACAAGCACTGACCAAACCTGATTCTGCCATCCATATGAGCAATGAATCCTCAGTCGATCTGGTGAGTAGGCCTCTTCTTCATTAATACAAAATTCCCTCTATCATTTCTGTAACATGAATTAAAAGCACATATTGTTATATGCAAATTATCGGTTAGTTTGTTGCATAGAAGGGTACTGTAGATATTATGATATTGTGTTTCTCTATGTGCTGTATAGCTGAAAAGATAATGGAAATAGGTATCAGAGGCTTTAAACTTAATCATTGCATCACACATATGCGCAGAGCACCTGCACACATGCATGCGCACATGCCCACAAACACTTTGCACATGTTTGAAGAGTGTGCACAATGTTTTATGTGCCTTTTGTCAACATTTTAAGTGCTTCTAAAGTGCATAGAGATTTATTTAGAGAGCTGTTTGCTCCTCTTTCTAATTTGTTATGGATGTGATTGTCCTAGTATCCCAGAGAGAATATTCCATTTTACTGCAGAGTGTTATTTCAAGTTGTCCGCCAATTTAGTAAAAGCATTCTGCTTGCTTTCACAATAATCCCTTTAATTGACATTTGGACTCTTGTGTCCTGCAGCTATATGGTTGCCTTGTTGTTATAATCTTTATTGGTTTGCTTCTATTTTTTTCACGGTTGACTGTGGGCAAAAATTTCCATTTGTGCTCATTGATTAACTTGCAAATTTGCTTAATCAAGTTTATATTTTGCAAATTTAACCAGCATGCTGGTCTTTCCTTGGCACCAACCTTCTTTTGCGTGTACCTGTATTAGTAATCGAACTTGTTAACAGGTTAAAGGGCTCTCCATAGAAGAACTTGCTACTCGAAGTGATCTTGTTGTTGCATTGTCAGAAAGGATTGAAGCAATACCAGATGGAACAGCACCTGGAGCAAAACAAACTGGTGGTTGGGGAACTTCAGCTTCTCGCATGGAAATAAAAGTTGATTCGTCAGGTGCTTTAGCAAAAAAATTTAAAATTGAATTGATATTGTATTATTTGATGGCTTTGGATTGCTTCTAATTTTCCTATGTGTGATGATTCCTTATCAATTTGACTTTGTTGCTCCTTTTTTTCTTGTGGATTTCTCCTTAGGTGGAAGATTTGAGAGTGAATACTTTCAGCAAACTGAAGAGTCTAACCAATTTAGGCAGGAGTTTGAAATGCGAAAAATAAAACAGGTAATATTTCATGAATATCTTGATTGGGGGAGCCTTTTTAATGGTTTATAATTTTATTTTTATACATATTTTGAAATTGAATAATAATGATATTCTTCCTGACCAAAGCATTGTATTTTAGACTCCGGATTATAATGGAAATTGTTTTTGTAATATAAACAGATGAACTAGAAATTATACTGTAATACTTTCCAGTTGCAGCCTCAGCCTGATCTGCTGACTTTTATTTGCTAAATTAGGTTGAATTTTCTACTTTATTGGTTTCACTTGCAATATTGGCTTGCACTCGACAATCCTTTTAATGGATTAGAGACATTTATGTTTCTACAAATGAATAATTTAACGCACCATGGGTCACACTAATTCTTCATAAAAAGGATGTGAATTTGTATATTGAGGACTACTTGGTTGAGAAACAATTGCTATTCCATCAACTGCCATTCTTCTCTTGGTATTGCATATTTCTTTAAAAGGGGCTACATTTCTTTGGACACCTGAGCATTTTGCTAAATGGTGGCTGTATCTAGAAAATGTGAAAGCATTAGATGCTTTTGTGAATCCAGAGAACAATTTTTACTTATGCACAAATTTTTAGTTTCTCATGCCTATATTTTATTTGTCATTTCTTGCTTGCATTTAGAGTAGCATTGGTGGATAATGCAATCAATTTGGATCCTTCCAATGCATTCATTACTTTCTTTGGGCTTCATGGTTTTTAACTAACACTTACAGCCATTGCTGGTGATGCAGGACAAAATTATTCTTAATTTTTTTTTTTTTTAATTTCAAAGGATTTATATTTTAAATTTAATTTGAGGGTTTAGTTTTTTGGTTTTTAAGTTCTTTTAGGGATTCTAGAGTATTTTATATTTTTCGGATTTTAGGAGTTGTTTAGAAAAGTAGTTAGTGCTTATAGAATATTTTGTTTTATCAGAGCTAAACATGTCATTATGAATTTTACTTTAAGTACAGACTATTTAGCAAATATTTTTCTTTTGGGTAAATTTTTTACTTATTTATTTAGTCAATCTTATTCTGGTGAAGGGTATTATGAAACTTTATTCCTAAATTAAGTTATAGAGGAGATGCATGGAGGTCTAAGCGGGATTCACTTGATTTTGAAATAAAAAAAGGAAGCTGTTAGCTTTGAAGCCCTTGTTAGCATTTGGGGAAGAAACCCCAAGTTTCTTCAAATTAGTGCTTGTGTTTTGTTTGGAATTTATTAGTTTCTGTTTTCTTCATCAATCACTACATCAATTGGTATTAGAGCAAATGAGCGTCAAGGGCAGATATCTTTGATCAAGTCTAGGATTTGTTGAATTTAGACCAGGATTTACTGATTTCAGCTAATATTTTGTTGATTTCAGCCTAGGGTTTGCTAAATTCAGCCGAGATCTTGCCGATTTTGAGCTAAGGTTTGTTGATTCTCTGCCTAGGGTTTGTGATTTTGGTAAACCCGTAGCAGCAGGAAGAGGCCGAGGAAGTGAGGTTCTCATAGACCTACTCTGTGATCTCAAAGATGAAGAAATTGAAGATCTCAGAGGGCAAGTTCAACAACTTGCACAAACTCCTGGCGTCACTCATGGGCAAGATGGTGATCTTTCTGCCCAAGAAGATGTCGAGTACAACCCTTTACACTAGCATGTTCCGCAAGTCAAATGAAGTGGAGAGTGATTGAAGACCGAAATGTGAGGAACATCACTCCAGGATTTTCATTTGAAGGTGAAGATACTTGATTTTGACGAGCATAATTTGACTCAACCAAGGGAGCAGTAATCGTGCTGCCTCTGAGTACAATTTTTTTTGTGACATAGTTGTTGGGAACGATTCTAGGATTAGGGGCGCATCAATAGATCAAAGCTGCCTCGAAGATCCTAATGTTTGGGATCGATGTTCGTACATCTTCATACATTGGGAACATAGTCCTGTGTGCTGGGGATTGAGTTTCTCTATTAGATGGGATTGATTATTATAATATTGGGGAGCGAGATTCTTTGATTTGGAGATGATGTTCCTGAGCACAATTTTTTGAGTTTGTTAACTTGGGTGCCCAATGAGAAAAATCATCCAACATAATATGGAGCAAGGGATAATTTTAAATAGGGCTCCCTAGCTTTACAGGGTAGTTCACAATGTTGTTAATTAGTAATATGTAATCTTAAACTTCTATTAAATAAAATAAGGAACTTTAAATTACTTCATCGTTCATTATATTACTATAGTAGATAATTCAATTCATTAAATAAATTGTGACCTTTATAATTTTAAGTACAAAACTCATGCTGCAGTGCTGGCATCTTTTTCTTTGAATAGCTGTGTAAGAAATAACCCAAAACTATATATACATGAAATAATTTGCTATTATGTCTTAGTAAATAAGCAAAGGAAGCCGAAGCATTCATTTTGGAAAATTGTGGGGAATTATTTGTGCATGTAAAAATAAAACTCTGTTTGTACAGTGTAAACTATAAAGTATATATGCATACATGTATGAGAGAGAGAGAGAGAGAGAGAGAGAGAGAGAGAGAGAGAGAGAGAGAGAGAGAGAGAGAGAGAGAGAGAGAGAGA